TTTACGAACGTCGTCGTCTTGTGCGGTTCTTTTTGCACGTGAGTTGCAGGTCAACTTCAACTAAGCCCTGCCCCACTCACTCACCGCTCCTCCCATATTTATTATTATTTTTTTAGTACCTCCTCCCATATTTTTTACATCATATATTGCGTCTTATTTTTCTAATTCGGATAACAAAAATTTGTTCTTATTTTTGAAAAAATATGTATGGTCAAATTACAGTTTTGTCCTCTGTATTTGGATTTAGTTTCTAGTTTGCTTATTGAGGTTTCAAAAGAGACCTTCTTTATCCCTGAGATTTTGAGGTAGTCTCCTATTTGATTGAGTTTCAACTCCCTTTTTCCTTTTTTTTTTCTAAGTTTTAGAAATATAATTTTTTACAGTATTTTAGTTTACTATTATTATTTTTTATTTATTGAATTTACTATTAGTTGACGTATTGAAAGATGATATGAGTAGGTTAACGTGTTGATGTCAGAACGAGAGAATCTTTATGGCCACAAGGTAGTCGGTTTCTTTTTGAGATGTCCTCGACTGAGTTGAAAATTACGATAAACTCAATAACATTGACACATAAGCTATATCCAACCTTATGTTAAGTCAATTTAGCTCTAGAACATAACATAATTTAATTTTAAATTTAATAAATAAAATATGTCACTTTTGACATTCAAGGGACTAATTTAAACCTCATTGACAAACAATGTCAGTTTTAAAATCTCAAATACCAAGTAGAAACAATGTCTAATTTGTCGATTAATTAATTTACTCGATGCTCATTAAAAATAACATTTTAAGAAGATAAAAGACCTAACAAATATTTTTAATATACATGGACTATTCATCTCATTGTCAATTGGATTTAAGATAAAACCAGGAATATTATATAATACAAGAAGAGCCCAACAAACTCAAACGACCTTCCATCTAAAAATTTTAACAATAGTTACAACATTAAATTGGTGTAAGAAGAAAAAAATAGAGCCCAAACTCTATCACAAATTACTCAAATTTTTTTGGGATTACTTCGTTAATAGGCTATTCAGAGACTATAATTACAGGATTGAATTGTGTAAAATTTGCAGTTTTGTATGAAACAACCTCAGATGGTACCCATTACCCAATTTACCAATATATCCTTTTTTATCTCATCTCAATATTAATTAATTTTTAAAATCCAAAATTGATTACTTGGAAAGTTACCTTTTAAATGCCTTAAATTTTGCCTAATTAGACTTTCCAAAAGTAAAAAATCTAAAATCTAAAAAATCCTCCATTATTGAAAAAATTTGAAAACCTCATCCTTCCTCCGACTTTTCTTCTTCCTCTGTCGTTCTATTTCCGTCCATTCCTTCGTCTCTGGTCGCTGTTTGCGTTCCTTCATCTCCGTTCTTATTCGTCGCCGGAACAGTCCTTCTAGCTTCTCCTTCGTCTCTGGTCGCCATCAATTATTCCTGTCATTTTATCCCGAGGTTTCTTTTTTATCGTCAACCGCCCGTCGATCATTCGAGCCCTCCGTTTATCCTGACCATTGTCTAGTCGCCGACCAAAAGTTTTGTATGTTATTTGCTTTGTTTGTTAATTGTAGAGGGATATAGTCGTATATACTTTATAGCCAGATATAGGTTATGTCTCCATAAGACATATAAGTGTATGTTATAATGACTATAGTTTATATCACCATTGTTAAGTGTATATTGCTTAAGTTTATAGCCGGATATAGTTTATATTTCCATATAAATGAAAAGGTAGCCGGATATTGTTTATATCTCCATATAAGTGTATGTTATAACGACTATTATTGAAATTGGCAAAAAATTGTAATGAAATGAAAAAATATTTTGTAATAAATTTCATTATTTAGTAGAATGTATTAAAGAGTAAATTTGGGGATTATCATAATAATTTAATATCTTATAAAAAAATTTTAGTATAATATATTAGAGAGTAAATTAAGGGATTATGTGAATAATTGATTTAGGTCCCACAATAATTTAATGTTTACGAAATCAAATTTGGAATGTTAATTTTTTGCATTTAAATAAAAGAGCAATTATAATAAATATAAATGCAATAAATAAGAGTAAAATCGAAATTAAAATAAAATCCTACGTCCAGAAATCTAAAAGTGTAAAATAAGAAAATTCTAGACACATTTTGTGGGCAACGTTCTCTTATGATTCTTAGTTCCAAAAATAAATATGACGAGACTCGACGCTTCCATCGCGCGAGGTAAACAATGCAAGAACCGATCCACATGCGGCCACTCGAAGTACTACTACTTCGGGGCACGTCGAATCAATGAGGAGGAGCCGTGCCGACAGTTCGATGCCCGAGCACCCAGCCTGCCGACCCAACCTACCGAATCACCACTCACGCGCCGTACGTCGAACAACGGACCCGGGCGACACCCCACTATTCGCGCCCCTCCGCCGAGCCGAGGCANCGAGCCCGCAACAATAAGTTTATAAAACAGCAATCCGAAGACATTATTTCAATTTTTTTTAATACACCATATGGAGATGAGGATCGAATTGATTTGAGATATATGTCAATTACTATTTTGACATATTACAAAGAACTAAAAATTGGGCTAATTTTACAGTTTTCTGATTGAAAATTTATTCATTAGCAATACAATGATAATAATAATAATAGCAAATCATTGTTTAAAAGGGAAATCGATAATTCTGGCGGCATATCAGAAAGATCAACTGGTGTCCAAAAAAACACATAGAAAGCCAACTAAATAGAGAAAAAGGAAAGCAAACAAAACTTATACCCATCACCTTTCACGAATATTTATTATTATTTTATTTCCTTTTTATTAATTATAGCCGTGGCTCGAAGATTCGGTTGCGTGAATATATTTTAAATCAACGAAATAATAAACGTATGATATAATATAAATATTTATGCGAGCTCCATGTTCTTCCAATTTTATTAGTGCTAATATATTAATCCGAAAGGGATATGAACCATATATTAATTTTTAAATATATGTTGCTAAATACATTGTCACGCCAAGCTGTAACATGTTGCTTTATGTGCACAAACTTTGGCAATCATTATCCAACTGAATAAAATTATTACATTTAATTAGGAGCTGGATTTATGAGGGTGTTTAAATTAACTGCAAGTTACGAAAATACCCTATTCTGTTAAGGAAATACGGAGAGGGGGCACGTGAGCCTCAAGTCAAACCTCATATACAGCGACGTTGGTTTGGTAATTAATTGGTTAATTAATTAAGCCGATAATTGGGATCTGTGCCCTAATCATCACTCCCTCACTCCCCCGTCGCGTAGGTGTTTTAGCGTCTTACTAGTTAATTACTGTAGCCAAGTCAACCTACCCACCCTAAATTATAATAATTTCATACGATAATTAATTTCATTATCGTGTATTATTCTTCTTTGTTTAAATAAAACCCTTTTTTATTTGTCATCCTCATTTTTATACTTTGATGGCAACTCAATTTTCAATACTCATTTAACTTTCAGATTTGTCTCTAATTTTTTTTAGTACCTGGGTCAGGATTAAACTTACCATTTTTTTGTTGAAGATATATGTAAATTATCGTTAAGCTGTACTCACTTTGATATATTTATTTCTAATAAATGAATATATATTAAAAATTACATCATAGATCCATAATTATTTTTTCCTTAGTTTTGCGTTTAATAAATTCTCGAACTTTAAAAGTGTTTTGTTAGATTTTTTAGTTCAATATGCATGGTTATTCAAACCTCTAATATTTTTATTGATCATATATGTCTTAACTAAGTAAGTCATGTTCAAGGTAGCGTGTTTAATAGATATTTAAACTTAATTTTTTTCTTGTTGTCTAATAAATACATGACTTGTTCGACATTTTAAAAAATTAACATAGCTATTAGACACAAAATTGAAATCGAAAGTTTAAAAACATATTAGATATTTTTTTAATTTAAGATTCTTTTTTTATAGACCTAAAATTGAAACACTAGAGACATATCAAACATTTTTTTAAGTTTAAGAAGTCACCATACATAACATAAAAGTTTATAGATTAAATTTGTAATTTTTCTTTCCAATTATTTTGTTTTAATTAACAAATTCAGCCCAAAGAATAATCCTTTTAGTTTTTATTTTTGTTTTTGCAAAATTAAATAATTTGTTTAACATACATTTGACATTTCACGTCTTTTTTTCATCTACCTAACTAATGCAGATTTAATAAATAACATTTTAAAGCTAGTTTTTTTTTTATATCAATATGGACATTTTCATTCATTCTCATTGCAGTAGGTATTTGGTCCAGTATTTTAGGTATTTATAATTGTATCAATTTCGACCACACATATAGTTAAAGTTATTAATTTTAAAATTTAAATCAATTTAAATTTTTATTAGATGGTGATAGAAAAAATAATGGTAAAATCTAAACAAAATTTTATGTAAAGCATAAAGATTAAAATATAATATTAAGAAAATTAAGTGATGAAAATGAAAAAAGTATGAAATTTCATTAATAAAAATACAATAGCACATTACTATTTTTTAAAATAATTTAAATTACACAGATTAGTACTATTGGTAAAGTGAATTTTTGTTTTCAAATTTACGAGGTATATATATATATATATATTTTTAAAAGACATGGATTTCAAAGTGTATAATCCAGGTATTTTCAATTGCGTGTTACCTAAAAAAAGAAATTGCATTTTTTTATTTTTTAAATCTACAATGAATTAGGATTCCGTAAAACCCTCTCTCTATTTTTTTCTTTTTAAATAAAAAAAAAAGAGATTAAAACGTGAAACTGATTGGCTTCGGTGAACCATAACCACACACACAAGCAAACGGAATGGGAAATTCGTCGAGTCAAGCAGTAACGCCGTCAAGCCCCGCCGCAACGTCGTCAGTTAAACGGCGTCGTAATACCGAACGGAAAACAACTAACTAAAATCTGGGAAGAGGGACAATCGCCGGGTGTATAAAAAGATCAGACTGTCACTATACAGAGAAAAAAAGAGCGAGTTTCTTCCGACCTCAAGCCTCGTCTTCCGCCGCACTGTTTGCTCTCTCACAACATTGAATTTCAGAGAGAAAATATTAGATCGAAACTAGTAATTCTGCCATTTTTGAGCTTCTGATTAAATCCAACGATTTCTGAAGATTAGGTAGCAGAATCGAAGTCCATTATCGTTTTGTTGAAGCACTCCGGCGACGGAACTGCTACCGAACTGGTAAACTATCGGAATTTCGTTTTTGTTTCAATTTGATTTTTTCGCTTTTACTGCTCAAATTGGAATGATTTCTAAGCTTTAACGCGTATATCGGATGATAGATCTTCTGAATTCCGGTGCGACTGCTCGCCGCTGGCCGACGTCCGACGGCGGCGGAGAATTCTCGGTGGAAGTCTTTGGTAGAAGAGTCGCTTCCTCTGGAATTTGATGATCGGGAGTGTTTTCCCCGAGAAACAATCAGAATTATTCAGGAATCACGTGAAAGCTGCCCGTACCTAATGCAAGTGTAAGAAAAGAAAACCTAGCTCTGTCGTGGAAAGACTGTGAAACGCTTCGTTTTGGAGATCTCCAGCAGCCGGAGGCAAATCGGCTATTAGGCTGCTTTCCATGCCCGGTGTGGATCTAAGAACTAATTCCGGAATTTTCTCGCTCTTTCTCGCTCTCGCCTACCAAAATTCAACTCGACGAGCTCTGAATTTCACAGAGCACCACCATTTCCGAAGCGATATAAATCTCTCCGTAAAAAATTCCGCCACAATTCACCTTCCAGCCGTGGACTGTCAATTCCAAAATTGGCGGAAATTCCGATGGAACTTCCTCAACCCCGTCAGTTTGGAGCCGAAGGTACTTCTTCGCCTTTATTATTTTTTTTTTCCTTTTCAATTCTCCAATATATTTTTCCTCCCCGGGAAAAGATCGATTCGACTTTCAAGTTTCAGCATATGGAGCCAAAACAACGATAAGAAATTGAAATCCCCAATCCCAATCCCAAATTGATTAACGAATTTCATGAACGTGCTTGAACAGGAAGCAAATCAACTCACGACTTCCTCTCACTGTACTCCCATTCAAGTCCACAGCTAGATCCAAGACCATCCCCACAAGGTACTGATTTCCATTCATCAATTTTCACTTAATTTAATTTATTTTTCTCGCTTGGCAATTTTAATTAAGAAGCCAGATATATAAATGTATATATTGGGGGTTTGTTTGATATTTAAGAGGGGCAAATCGAGAAATGTATATGCACGTGACACGCATTGAATCATGGATCTGGGGCCATGTAATTGTAAACATTTAAAAGCGTAGCCTGGGGCGGGACTGGCTGGGCTGTGCCTGTAATCGCATAGGCCGCTGAAATCTAAAAAAAGCGTAGCCTCAGCAGTTAGCACAGCAGGTAGCGCCCAATCTCAGATTGGAGTGGGCGCGTCGGGGGACCCCTCTGCCCCTCCCCCCATGGCCTTTGATTTGACATCCCACATCACCTCCTTTCCCCATTTCTTCACAATCCAATTCAAATTGGGCTTTTTTAATTTTTCCCCTTTTCAAATGTCTATATATAATTATCTATCCCTTTCAGCTGCGAAAACAAGGCTACCAACTTACCTTATGAAAGAAAAATTTAAGAATTGCATTGCGAAATTTTATTAGGCCTGCATCAAATAGTTATTATGGGCACTCTAGTTGAGTAATGTTTTGAACAAAATTTTCTATTGATTGAGTAGCAGAAACCCATTCAATATTCATCTGGCCCACCAAATCACAAATAGGAGAGAGCGCAACAAACTCAAATGAGGATTATTATTATTAGGTGTATGAAATTCTTTTTTAAACATTGTATTGGGAAGTTATCAGGGCTGAAGAATTTTTGGGTAGGTTTCGGTTTTAGTTTGATAATTTGATTTATTCCGGGTGTGTGAATTTAACAGGTGGGTATCTTAAAACACACAATTTCCTGCAACCACAAGAGCGGATAAGGAAGGGTAGTACGAAGGAAGAGACGGATGTGGAGAGGCCGCCGCCACCGGCGCCACCACCTTCCTCCGTTGAGCATCTCCTCCCCGGTGGGATCGGGACTTACAGTATAAGCCACGTATCGTATTTCGATCATCAGAGGGTTCTGCCGAAACCGGAAGGCTCGGTTTTTACTGGTGCTCGATCGAGTAGTAGCACGGAGAGGAACGACGAGAACTCGAACGGCAGTTCTTTCGCAGCGGCCGGATGTGGATTCACGCTGTGGGAAGAATGTGCTGCCAAAAAGGGAAAGACAGGGAAGGAGAATCTTGTGGCCAATGGTATGAAATTATTAACCTTCTCATTTGCATGCATGCAAAACTAAGCATTATTCTATAATTACTTCACGTTTAGAATAATAAAAGCCTCTATATTTTTTTTTTCAAATTTTGATATGATATATTGGTTAAAAAATTAAATTTATGACATAATTTTGGCTGAAAAATATCAAAGCAAAATATTATTCTCATTTTGGAATGTACTTAATAACACTTAGATGTATTTCGATCTATTATTACCTTTTCGGATTCAACTACGAATAATTTGCTACACTATGTTTATTATTTTTCATTCATATTTTAGTACTATAAAAACCAAAGTAGTCTAAGATCTAAAATATAAGTATGATATCGAAACATTATTTTCATCACTATTGACATTGACAGTTTATAATTATAAAACCTGTGAATTTACTATTTATATTTTCTTATTTGAGATAGAAAAAATTACGTGATTAATAAACTTTAATTTACAAAAAAAAAGGCCAGCTCATCTTTTACTTTATAAATGCCCACTTATAAAGTAAAGTATACATTTATTTGTAATTTTCACAATAATTTTTTCGAAATTATCTATGAAATTATGTAGTATATATAATATCATCCCTAATTATACGGTGACAGGAGAATTCATAATTCCTTTTAAAAAGGGAAAATAAATAAATAATGTATGAAAATTATGGTGAGCTCGTTAAAGATCCGGGCCCACCTTACGGGCTTTGCTAGGGTGTTTCAGCCCGTATATGATCTGTTTTCCGGTCAGCGAGAAGAACGTATATTCTAGTTCGTTCGTTTTTTTCACTCCTTTTTCCCCGTCTTTTAACTTTCGCCGGCGGACAGAACCTCGGGCGAGCACGAGCCAATGGACGGCGTCCATGGAGCGGCCCTCGCAATCATCTTCGAACAACCATCACAACACTTTCAGCTGTCACTCATCCTCTCAGTGAGTCTCCCTTTCTCTCTCTCTTTCCTTTTCAGTTTCACACTGAGATTCAGTGGAATTGATTCCAAGAGAATCTTAATAGGCCGACAGGAAAGAAGAACCAGAGCTTCATGGAGATGCTAAAGTCGGCCAAGAGCACCTCTCAGGATGAGGAACTGGACGATGATGGCGACTTTGTCGTTAAGAAAGAGACCTCCACCGCCAATAAAGGTCTGCTGATACGAGAAAACAGAAGAAAGCTAATTCTTCGATATTCTCATATTACTGTATTAAATTTGTATCTTTGTAACTAAACATTTCGAACTATTTCCGCAGGAGAATTGAGGATTAAAGTTGATGGGCAGAGCTCTGATCCAAAGGCGAACACCCCTAGATCAAAGCACTCTGCGACAGAACAACGAAGAAGAAGCAAGATAAACGATAGGCAAGTGCTTCTCCTATTCAACTTTGAACTCGTTATTGTGACAATCGGTCAGTGCAATATTGCTGAAAAACGAAACTTCTTTATTGATTATCTTTTTCCTTATATTCTCGATTTTATGAAGGTGGTTTGCAGAATCTGCTGTTAACATTGAAGTAACGTTCTTTTTAGGAGTATTTTTATTCTTGGGAAATGATCGAATCTAGATGGTTTCTTACATTTACTACCTATCACTAGCCTTTTGTAATAGAATTACAATATATACCAACAATTTTAGTTTCATTTTTCGTGGCCCAAATCATAGATTGATATAAGGGGCAACGTAGTTTGATTTCACGTGTCCTGCTTAGCTGAATTTTTTTGAGCTCTCGTCGGATACCTGTTATTGATGGATCATTATTGGGAACGAGAAATTAACATTCTTGGGGTTGTGTTTTTTCCGCTTTCCTCTTGGAAATGTTCTCCACAATTATTTTTGTAATAAATATACCTCGGCAAGTGCTGATAGGTACAAGTTGAGAGCCTTTATCTAACTCCTCTTGCCTTTCCTTGTATGTTTAATTCATCTATAAATTATTCTGTTTCCTATATCAAAAAGTAGCAGCATTTTTTGTTGGAGGTTCTGGCCAACTACTTGTATAACATCTTTATTCTTTACTGCCTATCATACAGATTTCAGATGCTGAGAGGCCTCATTCCTCATAGTGACCAAAAGAGGGACAAGGCATCATTCTTATTAGAGGTATATTTCTTATTAATTCCCTTTACTTTTTCACGTTATATTTTATTATCTTTTAACGTGCTTTGCCTTTTTTTCCAGGTTGTCGAGTACATTCAATTCTTACAGGAAAAGGTACAGAAGTATGAAGGTTCATACCAAGAATGGAATCATGAAATGGCTAAATTGATGCCGTTGGTAATCACATGCTTCTAGCTTTGTATTTTATAATTTGGAAGTGCACTAGTTTATGGCATTTTGGATCAGCGTGTTTTATATATGCAATTTGTCAATAAAGGAATATGTATGTGGTTTGTAATTAAGGCCCTAAACAATATAGTAATATATCATCCGCAAAAAAACTAAATTTATTACTAAATATCACCTTTGGTTGCACAGAGAAACAATCAACGGAGCGCAGATGGTTACAACGATCAATCGCGAGGGATAAATAGTGGGTCTGGTCCTGCTCTAGTTTTTGCAGCAAAATTAGTTGAGAAAAATGCCCCTGTATCTCCAATTGTTCCTGGGAGTTCACATAATGCAGTGGATTCTGACACAAGTTCTGCTACTACCTTGAAAGCAGTAGATCACCATTCTGGAAGAACATATAATGCAGTACCATCTCCCATGTCCATGCCACCAAAACTTTATGCACCTACAAGAGATGGAAATGTAGTGCCTCAACCCCCAAATCAATTGTCATCCGACCCCGAGCACCCCTCATCACGGCCCCAAATCTTGTCATGTCAGGCTAGATGTTTCAACAGTGATGTTGCTGTAGCAAGTGAAATGCAGAAAGAACAGGATTTGACCATCGAAGGGGGTACCATTAACATCTCAAGCGTATATTCTCAAGGGTGAGCTTTTGTAATTTCTATCATCTTGATCTTTTGATCTTTTGATTTTTTATGTCCGCGTTCTCTCCGATCTACTTCGTTTTTAATGTTCTTACACAATATTGAATCATAAGTCCTAAAATTTCATGTCATGGTAGCAGGTTGTTAAATACTCTCACCCACGCACTGCAGAGTTCTGGAGTGGATCTATCGCAGGCCAGAATTTCTGTCCAAATAGAACTTGGTAAACGAGCAACCAGGACAGTCATAGCTCCAACATCAATTGTTAAGGTATTACTGCTGTTTCCAGTTTACTGTATGATCACTTGCAATTAGAACAAATAGTTGTGTTATAATAGGACTCTGCTAAATTGCTTTCGTCATTCCTAGGATGTTGATATTCCCATTAACGATATGGGGACGATACACTCGAGAGTTTCGGGTACAGAAGATTCTGAGAGAGCCAGAAAGAAGCTCAAGACTGTCAAAAGCTAGTGTGTGAATTCCAGTCTTTTCGTGATCGTTCATAATTTTATTCATTTTTTGGGGCTCCTCCTTTTTGGGGGCTCCCATGTGTCTTCCACTGGTTTCAAAACTACACGATTATCCAAAATTGATGTCCTAGTTCAATTCATTTTGTTGGGGATACCCTGCCCTACACAATGGTATGTAACATTAACCTAAATTCTTCTTTCTATTGCTATAACATAGGCTTCCATCATAACATTGAGAAGCTGCTTTCTTTTCTAAACTCATCCAGTTATGTAAATTATAATCTCTCTTTTAATCTAAAGCTCTCCATCCTGCACATACATCTCTCTTTCCCTTCATTTCATTTGTAAATGCCTATTTCTCTCATTCTTCTGGCAACTTGTTTATAACCCCAAGGCTCGGTTTTGAGATTTATACTGTTTAAAGTCGATTATACAATGGTTGGGATTCTTCTGGCAACTAGGCTCGGATTTGAGATTTATACTATTTAAAGTCGATTATACAAGGGTTGGGACTCGAACGGGAGGTTATTAATAATATTTTTATCAATTAAACTAGGCTTACGTTGGTACTTTAAAGTCAGATTATGTATTTATACATGACGTCTCTTTTTGTTAAGTGGCTGAAACTAACTTTTCTTGTATATCATTTATTAACTTCCTGAAGATCTTTTTCTTTTATTTATTTATTTACAAACATGGGTGGTTTATGGCTAACTTCCTCAAAATTAAAAATTATGTCTTCCCACTTTCATATCGGTTGAACTCAAAAAATAGATAATGCCAATTAATTTTCAGACATTATACTTATCTCTTTACGTTGGGAGTGCATTTAATTTGATTTCTGTATTGATCTTCGTTGTGGCATATGCATAATGCAAGGAAACATTGGATGGTTCAAACCGGTAAAATTAAGTTAATTTAATATTTTTTTTTTCTATTCAAGATTCAAATTCTTATATACCAATTAAATTTTGTAAAGAGAAAAAAAGTGGAGTTATATCATTTGTGTCAAATTCATCCTTATGTTTTTAAAAAATATTCTTTATATTTAAATTTAAAAGTAATGAAAATGGCATTGGTCAACAACTGGACAGAAACGTAAAAGTGACAAAATTGTACAAAAATTAAGAAAAAGAATATATTCTAAATAAGTGTTTGATTTAATCATGACATCACCTTTCTTGTTGATGACTCTAATATGGTTTTACTTCTATTTCTACCAACCCAACCCAAGAAGCTCAACAA